CAAGAATATCATAACTCAAAATCCAACATTTTTCACAGAAAGCCCAAACCCACTCATCATATCAATTATCATAATTTTCCAAGGTATCAAAATCATAATATGCACAATTATTCAATAGGATTCGTATCACACATATATGACACATAATTAATCTTGCAAAAGATACCATAATCATAATTTTTGAAAATTTGAATTATTCCACAAAAATAATTATATAATTAATCATGTTATCTTCTCGGGGTTAAAACCCAATAAAATTCATATATAATTACCCTACGATTAACTAAAGATTGGGACTATATATAATAAATTTCATTTAAAAGATAATCTACAATTTCCTAGGGATTAGGATTACATTCAACAAATTTAATATAAAATTATCTTACATTCACCTAGAGCATTACGTATACCAAATTTCACATGAAATATAATCTAAAAATACCTTGGGATTAGAATTAACTGGTCTCCGCTTTTGCTAGAGTATTACAAAGTATCAAAATTATTTTCCAATAGCACTCATATCGCACAAAATAATTTTCTCAAAGGTAAAATTTGTATTATGCTTTGATATCTATCACCATAAAATTTATATATATATTATTACTACTAATTTATAGTTTTTTATTATTATTATTATTTTTATTATTATTTTATTAATAAAAATATAGGGTATTACAGAAAGGTGCAAACATCACATGATTGGTTCTGATATTTGTCATTTGTGTAATCGATTTACTGAAAGCACCCTACATGCAATCAGGGATTGCGTTGATGCGAAGCAGGTGTGGGAATATGTAGTTAAACAAGAGGCAAGGGAGGAGTTTTTCTCTCTTAACCTTCAACAATGGGTGCTATCCAACATCTCACAGGTTCATACTTGGTCTAATCTGTCTCCATGGCCTCTTTTGTTTGGGACCATTTCTTGGTTCATTTGGCAATCTAGGAATAAGAAGATATTCCAGGGGTCTTCAGAAACTGCATACAACACTCTGAGAGCTGCTATGGTATATGGCGATGGGTTTACTTGGTCAGAAAACACACTTCAGGTTGCTGGCCTTGTGACTCATTTGCGAAAAGAGAGGTTAGTTTCCTGGGTTTTTCCCTTAGAACCTTGGGTCAAGCTGAATGTTGATGGGTCTAGCATAAATAATGGTGAATCTTTCGCGTGTGGGGGAGTAATTCGAAATGCTAGTGGAAGATGGCTCGTAGGGTTTTGTAAAAATATTGGTTGTGGCAACGTTTTAATGGAAAAACTGTAAGGATGCCTCCTTGGGCTTGAAATTGCTTAGAGGAAGGGCTTTCGTTTTATATGGCTTGAAGGTGATTCACTAGTAGCACAACATCTTTTGAAAGAGGGTTGCAATCCTCTTCATCCAGCCTCAAATTTGATCATGCGCATCAAGAATATGTTGTCTTGGGATTGGATGTTTAGAATTTCCCACATTCATAGGGAAGGAAATGGGGTTACAGATTGGATGACCTCATTCACTTATTCTTTTGACTGGTCCTTATAAGAGTTTGTCTCGCCTCCATCAGGTTGTCGTGACATGCTTGAAAAGGATTATGTAGGAGTAGCTTGGTCTAGGATGGGTACCTAGTCTTTCTTGCTGTTTTTTTCTTTCTTGTTTGTTTTTCCAAAAAAAAAAAAATTATGATATATTTTTTCGTAGAGATTTATTTTTAAGTTATTTTTTCTAACTTAAGAGAGTAAAAAAACTAAAATTACTTTTTTTGAGTTTTTGTTTTTGTTTTTTAAAAAAAAACTGATCTAATTTTCATAAAATTTCGTGAATGTTTTTTGAAAAAAATAAATAAACAAACAATGTCATCATTTCACGAGATGGGCCAAGAAAGGTTAACTCAACTCCAAACGTGCACTTGCTCGTGCAGCCTATGTTGCCATAAAATGAAGGGAAATATTACTCTTTTTTTATATAAGATAACTTGTCTCATGTTCTCTCACTTTGATTTTCGTACCCCATCTTTTTCTTTTTTTCTTGTAACGGTGAACCCACCCATTTTCTCTCTATAACATAAGATAATTATCTTATGTGAAATGAGACTAATAAAGTCCTAAAATAAATACGACACAAATTGACTAATTGAGTCATATTGGTCATGCTGGAACTCGAGGTACTAGCTCTTGAAATGCTTAAATCAGTACATGTACATGTACGTTCATGTGTGTGGCTCACACCCTCAAATATTTTGGCTTTAAGTTCAATTCCCTATGACATAGACTTTAATAAGCTTATGTACACTCTTCTGAGTTGTGAATTGTGACGGAGTTGATAAACATGTTTCAACCAAAAAATCTTCTTATAAAAAACCTCATATATATCCTGTGTAGCATGACTGGTAACTATTTTGTGGAGATCTATTTCTCAGTTTTTCTTTCCTTTCCAGCTGAGTTTTTCTCCTATTCGATGTTATAATAGTACCTAAAATGGATTTTTATTTTATTTTTTTTTTAAAAAAAAAAAAACCATCAAAACAACTTCGCATTTGCTTCTTTTGTTTATGATCATTTCCCCATATTAAGGCAAAAGATAACAGGAAAAAAAAAGTATATTGAATGAATGTTAGTCCTAGGCAAAGTGATGTGTTTGTTCTCCTTAAGGAGAATCGCTCTCAATATGGATTTGCTCCAACCGAATTAAACCAGTTTGAATTAAAAAAATAAAAAAGTGATGCTTTTACTTAATAAAAATGCTGAAGATTCTATGATGGTTCGACAAACTACAGCATAAAAAGATAGTAAGAAGGTGTACTAGTCCAAGTGATTTCGAATACCTTGAACATATAGCCTGAGATTAATAGCATTCAGCGCCGCTGAGAGTATTAGGGGAGATTATTTTCTAATTTTCCAAATGGGAGGATAATGTAGAAAATAAAATAATAACAATAATAAAATCATAAAAAACATACTAAGTAGACTTGCATTTTGTTTGTTAAGAGTGTTCGCTTTTCTTTTCTTTTTGGTGCTTTTACTTTCCTAATTTCAATTTGTTACCAGCTTTGATTGGTGTCAACTTTATCTATAGATCATTCAGGAAATTGCATTGCAGTTCGTGAGATATGCATGTGCTCCCCGGCCTGGGGAGATGACGTGTGGGAGTAAATCTAAGATTTTATGATAAGGATGATAAAATCAAGGATTTCTCATAAAATCTTAGATTTTATGGTAAGGATGTTAAAATTAAATTTAAAAATCATGGTATTTTAAATGCTAATTATATAATCATTATCTTCTGATTCTCCATTATTAGAAGGCAACGATTTCCTAATTTTATTAAATTGCAAAATAATGTTTTGGGCATGCAATTAACTCCTTCATTTATATTCATTCATTAAGGAATATCTATTCCCTTCATATAAACAATGGAATAGTTGCCACCAAAGGAAAACGCTTCCCAATCTTCCTTGCTTTGCTTGTAACTGCATTTTACTTGCCTCTCTTAGAATACAAGCTTCCATAGGAGGCATCAGTTGAATTTCATGGTTTTACTTGGACAACAGGTAAGGTTATTACAAGTTCATTTGTTTCTGGTTAAATTAAAATTTGTTTCCACTTTTCTGTTTCAATAACATGTTTTGAACAGGGCATGCAGCAAGTTCCAAGTTATTATAGCTCAGAAGCTCAAATGAGAAGAAGTAGCTTTCCTCGTACATTCATCTTAGAGACATACAAAAAGAGTTTATCAAAGCCAAAATCAAAGGCAGAGGTCAAATTACTGGCTGCTAGGAAACATAGGGAAGCAGAAAAGAAACGTAGATTGAGAATCAATTCTCAATATGACAACCTCCGCAATATCCTCCCCAACTTAATCAAAGTATGTGCCACACACTTATCAAGTAGTTTATTATGCATTGGATTTTTAATGGTCCATTCTTAAAAATGAAATCAACCGTGTAAAAGTGAAAATTCCCACATTTTTTATCAAGTAGTTAATTTATTATGCATTGTCTAGTTATAATTTACATTGAACTAAAATTCTTTGCTCATTTTTTGATTTTTGGTGACAAGCTTTGCTAAATATTGATTTTTGTTGTCAAAACTAACAGAAAGACAAGGCATCAGTGCTGGCGGAGACTATCAAGCAAGTGAAGGAGCTGAAGGAAAATGTATCAAAACTTGAAGAAAGTAGTCGTGGGGATAGCCTAAAGGAGGTTGTGTTTCCTAGTGTAATAGACAATTTGACTGTGGAAAAATGTAATCATGAAAAGGGCTTAGCGAAGGCCACATTAAGTTGTGAGAATAGGTCAGGATTGATGTCAGATATGGCAAGATCAATAGCGGAGGCAAAAGCCAAAGTGGTAAAAGTTGAGACGGTGACGGTGGGTGAAAGAACCAGAATTGTGTTGTGGATGCAATACCCTGCAAATGAAAATCTGGTGACGCTCAAGAGGACTTTGAAGGTTGCTATGCACAAGCCAACCTATATGATGCGGTCGTTTATTCAATAATATGGTGATTTTGACTTCTAATTGCCGTTAAATGTTGACTCAGTAGCTATAACATGTAAGGGCTAATAATAACATGTTTGTCTAGTTTTGAGGATTACATAATAATGACTTCAGGGGCTTTGAGGCTAGGGCTTCCCATGGCTTTTGTCACTTTTACAGTGTCTCCTTGAGCAAATAAAATCCAGCTTCCAGCTTTTACTTTGTATTTGGATATCATGTTCGACTTTAACATTTAATGTTGTCCATGAGATTAGTTGGTAAAAAAATCCTTATAACTTTAAGAAATGTGTGTTGGGGAGGGGGGATCTCAAAAGTCATACGTTAACCGGCAGAGCCCCAAAGTACAAAATGTTACGTCTAAAACTCAAGTAAAATGAATCACAATGGCAGACTGTACCCTTCCTTATAAAGTGATAATTAACTTCAGAAAATGTAATGGATACCTTTATTTTCTTTTTTCCTTTTTTCTTAGTTATATATACTAATAAACAAATAAATAAAATCATTCTTGAGCGAGAAATGGACATTAAAACAGGAATCCTCATTCTACTGTATTAGCGAAATATTGATTTTCACTGTACTAAAAATATCCCAGATGCTTGCTTCTATCTCAACTCAAACTCGATAAAATGTTTGAGCTGATGCATCTCAACTTGTTCTCACATGTACACCAGAATTCTTGAGCAAAGAATGAACATTAAAAACAGGAATCCTCATTCTACTTCTATTAGCGGAATACCGACTTTCACTGTACCAAAAATATCCCAGATGATTGCTTCTATCTCAACTCAAACTCAATAAAACGTTTGAGCTGATGCATCTCTACTTGTTCTTCTCACATGTACACCAGAATTTTTGTCACAATGGTTAGCAGTGAAATATCTTTTAAGGTCAATTCCCCTAATGCCACCATGATTTTTGTTTTTGTTAGCATGCAAAACCGCTTTATCTTCTGAGTCCTGCCGAGGCCTCCTAGCATCACTATCCACTAAGAAATCTGTACTTAAGTTATCATAGGAGGAAGATGCTACCGAGTTAGATGAAAGACCATAGTGGCTATACCAATTGGGTCCCAGCTCACCAAATATGTAATCAGAGAAGTCAGCAGAACTGGCTGAGTCCTTGCTTGCAGTACTGCAAGAACTCGCATCTGAGGAGCTGAAAAGCGAACATTCGCTAGAAGAATCCACCACAGTATTTCTTCCCCCATAGTTGAATCTCCATTCTTCTGGATGTACAAATTCATTGTTTAAGCCATGCTTCTGCTGTAGGTTGGGAGAATCAGCACTTGTAGCCATGGAACTTGATCTTGTCTTAGAAGCAGCAGGAATGGCTTCCAAGTTCCTCCTCTTGAACTTTCCAGCAGAAGAGATTGCATTGCTACATAATGAACCCGGGGGCTTTGGAGAGTGCCTGAAGATTTTTAAAATAAGCCAAAAGCACAGCTGCTATTATTGCTGCTGAGACATTCCACACTATAAACAATGATGTGAAACATATCCAACCAGAAATTATACATCAATCTCCACAGGCCTATTACCTTGCATAAAGAAGCATGTATGCCCTTTCTGATAAGACTCTTGAAAGTTCGACAGGTTCTACCTAAATAGAAGCACAAATGGCATCCTCAGTTTACATACAGAAATGCATCTCACAAATGAAGTATGCATATTTGATATTGCCAGCACTTTTAAAAAGGAGCATCTTAAAAAGTAATGACACGAGTTGCAAGAAAATACTTTTAATGGTATATCATTGCAATTTTTTAAGAAAATTTTGGTATCTCTTTAAATTAGAAAAACAAAAGCCGTAAGTACCTTTTAGAGGCATCTCTGCTATGCTATGATGCTTCTTAAAATCAACAAGTACAAACAAATTTTAATGAGTAGCTTCTTAGGAATTAGCCAAACCCTTACAACCTTGTAAAATGTACCAGATACTTCTTCAAATTTACAACTTACGTTTATTTATAAGTAGAACTGTAAAAGGTGCTCACAATCAACATTTTTCTCAAACTCAATCATCTGTTCCCCTTTCCTTCATGAACAAACTAAAAATGAGGACTCAGGACCAAACTCCTATTCAAACAAACCACTTCTAGAAAACTTTTTAAATTACACAAACTTCCTAAGAATCTACAAAATAGGGTTTTCTTCCTTTCTTTTTTTAGATTGATTCTTCAAGTACTGAAATGTCTAGTCCTTCATATATTGAGTAAGAGGGTACCTTTGTTGTCAAATAAAAAGACAATAAAGTATGAAAAGCAAAGCAAAAAATCAAATGACAGCAACATTTGTATAATCTAATTTTTTGGGGGAGTAAAGACATTCAAACACAAAAAAAGTGTCGGGGGAAAATTTTTTTACCCTGCTGTCATCAGTCCTGAACCATTCTCCTTGGATGTTCTTCACATAACAGACATAATGGCCTGAAAATGCAGCATTCATGATATCCAAATGAACAACCACTGCATAAAGGCTGTACAAGGGAGATTTATCTTTTGTTCCACTCATATATGGAGCCATGTTCAGGACCTCCGGGAACTGAACCGACTTATTCAACTTCTCGAAGTTACCAGACTGCCAAAATAGACAGCATAGTATGTATGAGAATACATAATATAAAATCAAAATTACAATCAAAGAACAAAGTAAATAAATAAAAAGCAAAACATCAAAATAAATATTGGAGACATACCTGAAATCGTTTCAATACAATTGTAAGAATATTTGGTGCCTCCAGTACTGTCAACTTCTTCCTGGCTTTCTCATATGATTTACATCTAGATAGCAAGAAAAAAAAAATGATTGCATAAAGATGGTATCCCAGAGGGAAAGAAAAGTAAATTTAAAAATCAATGAATTGGGATCTCAATTCATGCTCATTAATGAGATACGACCATTCTTGCCCCTCTAAACTGCATGACATTTGTAGTGCTACTTCAATCTTCATAATTCGGAATTAAAAAAGTCCACTTAAAATCGCAATATCAGGAGGACAGAATTTGCATTGTACTCAATACCTAAAGCTCTGAAATTCTAGTACAGTATTTATGGTCATAACTATGATGTGATTATGTCTTTAGTTTAATGAAATTACATTAGCTGAAAAAAGAGCAACCAATTTTGAAGCAAATCCTAAGAAGTTCCTTTTGAAGCAATTAATTCATCAAATAGAACAGTTCAGCCCATTCACAAGGGCCTAGAGAATTCTTCTTCCAGAAACTCCACAAAGTATTTTGTGCAAAATTCTCAAAACTGCTGTATGCCTTCTGACACGGTCATTGGCAAAAGCACCATAATAAGAACATTTGGTAAAACATTTGCCCCGTAAAAGCACATTTGGAATGTTTTGCCATAGTAATGCAGTCAGTCTCATAATTGGTAGATACAGGATCAGTCCTGTAGAGATTCATTACAGGACCAATGTCCATGTTAGCTTCTTTCATGCAGTCCCGTAGGGATCCATTACGGGACCAGCATTTTTTATGCAGTCCCGCAAGCATGACATATGGCACCCAAGTCAGTCCTGTATGCCTCACCTACAAGACTCTCTTTTTCAATATCGGCCAATTTTTATTATATCATTCACCAATGAGCCTGTCCATTCAAATTCCTCTTCTCTTTGCTTGGTTTTGTTTTATCCGATCCTGTTAACAATGTGAATTTAACAATATCCGTAGCTATATAATATACATAAAATTACCTTAACAACTTCTATCCAAAAATAAATAAATTACTTTGACACGTATTTAATGACACTATTAAAAAACTAATTATTAATTATTAACTTATATCTTAAGTAATTTTAAGTGAAAATTAATTGATAATATTATTAACATCGATTTTACATACATAAAGTTTAAATTTTTAAGTTATCAAAACATCATTAATATTAAATTATAAATTATAAATTATTAACAAATTATATGAAAAAGTAGAACTTATACAAATATTTTGTCATAAAAAAACTTAACATGTTAAAATAGTTTTAATTTTTATATGAACAGCTTATGACTTATTTAAAGAGTTAAACAAATAGAGTACAAAATATTCTTTTCTATCCAACCATTGAGTTATTTAAATTCAATGCTTACGATTATAATTTTATATTTAATGGAGAAAAATATAATGCATATTTAAATTATCTCATATGCATAAAAAAATTTTATTCTTTATTTGTAACAATAACTGTATGTATTAAGTTTATAATCATAATTAATATTCATACATAAGTTGTGCACATAAAAATAAAAATTATTTTAACTTATTTGAACATATTAAATATTTTTATGACAAAATATTTATATAAGTTCTACTTTTTCATATAATTTGTTAATAATTTATAATTTAATATTAATTATGTTTTGATAACTTAAAAATTTAAACTTTATGTATGTAAAATCGATGTTAATAATACTATTAATTAATTTCCACTTAAAATTACTTAATATATAAGTTAATAATTAGTTTTTTAACAGTGTCATTAAATGTGTCAAGGTAATTTATTTATTTTTGGATAGAAGTTGTTAAGGTAATTTTATGTATATTATATAACTACGGATATTGTTAAATTCACATTGTTAACAGGATCGGATAAAACAAAATCAAGCAAAGAGAAGAGGAATCTGAATGAACAGGCTCATTGGTGAATGGTATAATAAAAATTGTCAGATATTGAAAAAGAGAGTCTCGTAGGTGAGACATACGGGACTGACTTGGGTGCCGTATGACATGCATGCGGGACTGCATAAAAAATGATGGTCCCGTCATGGATCCCTATGGGACTGCATGAAAGAAGCTGACGTGGATACTGGTCCCATAATGAATCCCTACGGGACTGATCCTGTATCTGCCACTTACGAGACTGACTGCATTATTATGGCAAAACATATTAAATGTGCTTTGACTGGGCAAATCTTTTACCAAATGTTCTTATTATGGTGCTTTAGCCGACGGTCATTAAAACCATTAATGGAAGAGTCATTGAAATCAGATTGATAGGATTTTAATCACAAACCAATACTATTCGATAGATTCACATCTGAAAAACATTCCACTTTTACTACAACTTCTAGTCCATATTTTATCCTTTTGGTTAGTTTATTTCCCTCCCAGTAAAGCCTCCAAGTTTAACAGGCTCGTGACCTTTTCTATTACTTTTGAAGCCTCGCACAACTTGAAATAGTTTATTACTATGTATGCAACGGATGAATTGTGTCTTAGAATATTGTTAAGTGTGAGTGAAGACCCACATTAGTTAAGAATGCACTAGGCGCAGACCATATAAGTAAAAAAAACCCATAGACTCATTATCTTAAGGTTTTGGATTAAGATGACAGTGACAAAGGCCTCTTAGAGTGTTCATGGGCAACCAAGAGTGGTTCCACAACATGGGTTTGGCAGAGCAAAAACTCAAACACCATCTCCAAATACTCAGCCTAGCCAAACCATTAACTCTAAAATCACTTATTGTAGGTCTCTGAGCGGCCTTTGATTAATTCCAATTTAACAACTGCAAAGCTATAGATGTCACTTCTCATTCAAGTTCACTAATTTGTAGTAGTCTGGGTCAAGATACCTTGTTCGTGCCCATGACTGCAGACCTTGCATTTCTATCATCATTATGATTCAAGTCTTACCCACTCAAGTATATGCATCAATGGCTTGCCTTTTAATACTGCAAGGCAACATGTGATTAATTTCAATAGAACATCTCTAAAGCTATAGATGTCATTTTTTTTTTCATTCAAGTTCCTTAATCTGTAGTACTATGGTACGAGGTACCCTGTCGTGCCCATGACTGCAGATCCTGCATTTCTACCATCATTATGAATCACTTCAATTTCTACATTTTGGTTATCATTCCTAAACGCCTTGGAGAGGGCAAAATTTGCTATCATAGCTTCTATGTCGTGAATTAAGAAAATGTTAGTAGACTTCATATCCCAGTGTATTTTAGGTGGCTTGCATCCGTGTTGTAGGCAATTCAATCCCTTTATAGCATCAATTATGCCATATGAAGTCTCATTTCCCAACTCAAGCAATATGAATTTCTATGCGAGAGATAATATTTCAGGTTCTCATTCACAATGTACTCATATATGAGTGTCATCTTGTTATTATCATCACAATAATCAATGAATAATACCAAATCTTTGTAATGAACTATCATCAAGAGCTCAACCCCAGTTTGAAATTCTTTAGGTTCTTGAGATGATGATGGAGAAAGCATGTGACATTAACTTGTATTGTCAGTTGCCATCTTTCATCTCTCCATAGTACAGAGTTCCAAGTCCTCCTTTCCTTGAACCATTTTAAAGTTGCTAGTGATTTCCCCAAGACCACCGCATACTTGTATTGTCAGTTCTTCGATGCTACAGTTCTTCCTTCTTCATTGAGTTTATTCATCTCCTTGTCTGATTGTTCAATTCTTCTAATTTACCAAAAGAGAATGAAAACAACCAATAGAGCTACAATTGATGATATTTATGCAAACATGTAAACAACAATATTCTTTCTTTCTTTTTTTGTTACTCGGATACGAGTCATAGGTATTTTGATTACCTGCCTTTGGTCAAGTAATCTAGCCCTAAATCTTTCAAGAAGAGCGGATAATCAAAATATCTATGACGCATACCACTCTTGAAAGATAGGGCTGAATTACTTGCACCAAGGGTGGATAATCAAAATACATATGACTCATCTTAGTAACAAAAAAAAAAAGAATATTGTTGTTCCCATAGTTGCATGAGTATCATAAATTTTAGCTCTTATTAGTTATTTTCATTATTTTAGAAACTTAGAAGAAAGGAACAATGAGACAGAGATGAATAAGCTCAATAAAAGAGGAAGAATTAGAGCTCAATGGGCTAGAAATACATGTATGCTAAGGTCTTGGACATCACCAGCAACTTTGAAATGGTCATAGGGAAAAGAGGGTTTGGAACTATGTACTACTATCAAAAGAAAGATGGCAATCAAGTCTCCATCATCTAATGGACCAAAAGAACTTCAAATTGAGGTTGCACTTTTGATGATAGTTCATCACAAAAATTTGGTATCCTTCATTGGTTATTGTGACGATGATAACAAGATAGCACTCATATATGAGTATATGGCCAATGGAAACCTAAAAGATTATCTCTCGGACAGAAATTCACATTGTTTGAGTTGGAAAAAGAGACTTCAAATAGCAATTGATGCTGCAGAGGGATTAGATTGCCTACATCACAGATGCAAGCCACCTAAAATACACGGGGAGGTGAAATTAACCAACATTTTTTTAAGTCAAGACTTAGAAACTAAGTTATCAAATTTTGGCCTTTCCAAGGTGTTTAGGAATGATAACCGAAATACAAAAAACGTAGTGATTCATAATGATGATAGTAATGCAGGATCTACAATCGTGGGCACGACAGGGTACCTCGACCCAAAGTACTACAAATTACGAAACTTGAATGAGAAAAGTGACATCTACAGGGTTGTTCTATTGAAATTATTCACAAGTTGCCCTGCAAAAGCACGCTACTAACGCACATACTTGAGTCGACAAGACCGGAGCTGGAAAAAAGGAACTTGCATGGAATTTTATATCTAAGGCTCCAAAGCAAATTTGATGCAAGTTCTAGGTTGAAAGCGATAGTAATAGCGATGGCATGCACTGCATCATCATCCATTCAAACCTATAATAAGTGGTATCAAACTAGGTTGTCAGTAGCAGCTCGTAGCGCCGCTAAACCGCTATAGTAGCGGCGGCCGACCGCTACAACCGCGACGAGATGCGACGCTGGCCAGTAGCGGTGGGTACAAGTGTGCAACACGACGCTACCCGCTATTTGACATTGATTGTCGAATTATGTGTTTGATTTTGTGGAATTCATTGTTCATTTGTGTTTAATTTTGGATCCTTCCTTTATGATCCTTGTATTTGACATTGATTGTGGAATTATGTGTTTGATTTTGTGTGACTTCTTATGTTTGAGCATTTATATTTTTGTAGTATTAGACTGTTAGTATAATATATGTGGAATTAATACTTCATTGTAGCGGCAATACCGCTACCGTTTTTGGGGTCGGCCGCTACCAGCCGCTAACTGCTACTAACAAGAATGGTATCAAAGCCAATGGTTTAGCTGGGCTGAGTCTTTCAAGATGGTGGTTGGCGTCCAGGTTTGTGCTTGCCTAACCCATATTGTGAAACCACTCTTGGCTGGATAACCCCATGAATACTCTGAGATACTTTTATTTGAGGGGGAATATATTTATGTTGGGTCTCACAGTTGAGGAAAAAATCGTTGGGAATTCAAGTATGAGTGAAATCAAACCATATAAGTAGAAAGACCTAGGAACTCATTGCCTTAAGGTTTTGGGTTAAGATATGGTGTCAGTTAACTTCTTGTGGTTTAGGTTTCCTACTTAGCTCGTTAAGTCTCCCCCGAATGACCTAATAAGTTAGATCAATAATTTCACTAATTTATTTCAAGAGAGACCAAATCAATACTCTCATTCAGTTTACGAATTTAGCTCGTTAATACAAAATTCAGCATTTGAGTCTTGGCAATTTTTACTATCAAATAATTTGTGATTTTTCAAGCTCAATTTTAATAGCAAAATAGACATTAAGAGATAGTTTAATTATAGAAGTATATTGTATACATATCCTCAAAGGGTTGCGTCATGTGTAGCTACTAAATTACCACACAACAGATTACCAAAAAAAAAAATTACCACACAACACCGCTACAATAAATGCAAAGTATTATACTTGTTAAAAACAAAAGAAAAAAGAAAAGAAAATCAAGTATGGGAACATTATAACACAAAAATAATAGGAAAGACTTAAATTAACATGAAAATGGAAAGAAAATTGACAAACCTGCTGCAGTTATACTTATTGTCTTTATCCAAGATTTCAGGTGCAGTAAATTGTCCAAGAGCCTCCTCCAAAGTTCCAATATCCCCATCAATCTCAACAGTAAGATCCATCATTCTCTCGTACCTCTCAGATTTCCCCTGGCACCTTAAACACTTTATCTGCAATTTGCAGCGAATAAATTTCAATATATAGGGAAACCATCCTTTTCCTGCTCCATAAAAGTTGAAAATGTGAACGGCAATAAAAGTAGACTGCTACTTGAAAACGTGAACTGATAAAAGTAGACTGCTAGATTGAAAACAACCTTTGATCGTAAATAACCTCCAAAAGTGTATCCAACAAGAGTTGTTTCTTCTACCAAAGGACTTGCAACGCCAGCTTCCTTGAGGCAAATAGATTGCATTGTATCAACCACACACCTGTCAGTTGAGCAATTTATCATGTAAACAACTTGACATGTAAAAGTAACATTTTTTTGAGAGGGAGGAGATGAGCAAACATTGGCAAAAAATCAGTTTGAGCAATTATTAGGCTCACCTCAAAAATTCATGGGCATCTTCCTCCCTACCATGTCCAAGATGGCTTCCAATTTTGTGTATTTTAGATAATATTCCAATTGGAGATAGTGGAGAATTCCCTTCTTTTGCCTTCTGAATTAGATATTCGAACTCACAGATAAAACACCATCCCTTCTTCTGACCTATAAAAAGATTGTGAAGATTCAATTAACTAAAAGGTCCTGTTAATTGAACAAGTTAAATCACGAAGATATTATTAAGAGGAACTTGCATTGTTTTGAATGGAACCCTTGAAAAAGATAGGAAGTTAGAGGCCGAGTATATGCCAAGCACTGGAGTACTGCATTCGCATAACAACTGCAGGAGAGGCATTTTATTAGCAAGATGGTAATTAATTTATAACGGAAAAAAAAAAAGCTATACAAACAACCAGTGAATGTGTCCCCCTTAAACCACATCAAACACAAGATAGAAACAAGTATTGAATCCTGTTACGAAAGTTTAGCCAGCCGGAAACTAGGGGCATGTTTGAATACTGTTTTTAAAAACAATTTTTTGATTTTCAGAACAAAAAAACTTGTTTGATAAGGCCTGTTTTGTAAAAATAGCTCTAAAAATTACAACTGTTTTTTTGTTTTTAGAATCAAATTTAAAGAACATATCTGAGTGTTTTTGTTTTGTGTTTTTATTTTTAACTTTCAAAACAAAAAAAACATAGAAAATACATGTTTCATTAATTATTCTACAAAACAATTTAAGAACAAAAAACACAGAACATAATCAAAGAAACACTAGAATATTTCCTAAATGTTCTCTCAAAAGTTTCTCTACTCGCAAGAATTTCTATCATCACAATTATCATATACTCTAATGTTACAATTCTTGGACTATGCCCCACAAGAGAGCATTCAGAGAAAAAATGAAAGAAAAAAACATAAATCTCCATAACAAACCTCACTCGCTCATACCTGCTTCCTCCCTCCCTCTCACCAGAGCAGTAACATAGCATCTAACATATTATACTAATCAATGGAAAGCAGAAAGAACTCTACAATACCTGTTCCCACAGTTTGTAAGACCAAAGGGGAATAGTTTCATCTTGTCATAACAGTAAAGTTCCGTAAAGAGTTCATAAGGAAAGCCCATCTGCCAAAAGCATGCAATTTGTAAATCAACAGAGAAAAAAATAATAATATAAAGAAATAAGTCAAATATGTTTCGAACCTCATTTTCAACAGATATGATATTTGATCTTGACTCTTTTGAGCTTCTAAACTGCTGGACAACTTTCTGCACTGATGTTTTCAAACCATTACGAACATTTAGTGGCAGATTTGGAATAGCACTAACTTTTGCGGGCAAGTTATGATAATTGTCAGTTTTCGTAGACTTGGAATGTGAAAGCAAATCCCCATTACTGGTAGAGGATAATCGACCACGAGAACTAGATGATGATCTTCGCGCTTCTTTAAACTTTGACAGATGTAATTCTTCTTCTACATTATCAACTACAGAAGCTGGGATTGAACTACTCAAGGAAGGCACATTTCTGCATTTAGAGGTATCTGCCACTGATTTTTCAACCATAGCAACTTTTCTTCTGTGTTCATGGCTACCCAAATTTGCTGCCACATCATGAAATGCTTCAGATTTAGTTTTGGGAAATCTTGATTTAAATCCGGCCTCATCAGTAGTGTAACTAGAATTTGTCTTGCTTCTTTTACTTGCATTAGAATCCTTAACTTCGATATTCTCAAAACTTTTAGATTCTAAGGGAAATGAGGGGGTCAACACTGTCTCGTTGCTATGAGCGAAAGTAACAAATGTATCGTCAGCAGTATTATCGCTGACAGGTTTTGCAAATCTACTGTGACAGTTATCATCAAATGATTTTCTTGCAGCTACAGAAGGATTAAGGCCCAAACATGAGTCATTGGTAGATGCAATACCAGCATGTGTTCCTTTAATTTCTGCAGAGGATCTAACTAAATTATATATGCTGTATATGATACTTGAAATAATATAATGAGACTTCTAATCAAAACCATTACCATGAAGACCAGATTGTGTTTCTGATACTGATGCCCTGCAAGAAATATTTTCCTCTTTGAGCTCCATGGTAGCTATTGGAGGACAACATTCATCCTTGTGACCTTGTCTCCAGTGACTAATTTGACACTTACCCGAACTACAAGAAAGCATGCTTGTGAAAATGAATAACAACCATTGTAACATAATAAGAGGTCGAAATGATGGCTTGAGACACGTCACTGAACAGAAAAGTGACATAGGCAGAAGAAACTACAGATGTTCAGGAATGCAGCAACGGCAAATCATTAGTAAACTACCGCTAATATAAAGATAACAAATCAAGCTCTAAATTAGCAGATAAATTTCAACTACAAAAAAAAAATCCCCTTAAACATTCATAATTTCTATGTTCTCAAGAAAAAAGAAAGAACAATAGCTTCTAACTTCAGGGGCAAACACCTTACTTCAACAGAAAAATAAATGCCCGTAAATCAGATTATTTTTTCAATACAAGTAAGAAAACAGGACAAGTTAGACAACACAATCTTCAAGTTTTACTAAGAAAGAGTATTTGATTTGAGTCTCTCTCATCCAACACAAACAGAGAACTCTCAAGTCCATTTCTGGAATTATGATAGACCAATTCAATAACATAAGTTTTTCCAAGCAACTTCCGACATATATAATCTCAGTGACGGTTGAACACTAAATAATTAAGTTGAAAAGGAAGCACTAAACCCCTCTCATTGCCAGTGCCATAGCAGCAGCACCACCATACCCAGACACCCCATTCAAACAAAGTTGCTTCTTAGAGCAACACATGCAGGCAGAAGAAGAGGTTTCCCATTTCAACTAAACTTCTCCATCATTCCTACCCATCTAATCTACTAGCCTCTGAGGTTAACATTGCAGTTCGAATTCCCCCAAAAAAAGGAGAAAAACTTGGAGAGAAAAAAAAAAAAAAACGAACCAATATCTAACGGCCTTGCAGCGAGAGCATCGTCTGGTGGTAGGAGAGTAACACACAGCACATTGGTACATTTGAGAGACGGAGACAGGAATCGAAGAGTACTCGACTGACCAAGAGACAGCCTCCATTTCCATGGCGGCATCCTCCACCAGCCTTATGATCTCCTCCTTCTTCGCCTCCGCATTCCTCCACACGTAACGAAACACCACAAAACCCAACACCAACACCACATACACCACGCTTTGAAACCCTAAAATCCCGGGTACTACCATCTCTCTCTCTCTTTCTCTCTTTCTCTTATCCAGCACCCAGGAACAGCCCCGAACACAGGATACACAGGATGGTAATTTTGCTAGGCATAGATAAGCTCGGCTGCGGCGGTGGAGAGATCAGAGGAACGACGGTGTTCACCGGCAGGGGCAGAATGGGAAAGTTGCGAGCAGTACTAGGACTAGAAGCGTGAGCATCTGGATTCTGAGGTGAGTGTGTGTGTGTGTGTGTGTGTTTGGCTCTGAAATCGATTCTAAGTTACTGTTTCTTTCGACTCAGCTCAGATTGTCCAATTGCGAATATACGACACAGCGATCTGTTTGTCGTTTGTCTTGTCCTCCGGGACTTGCCGTTTGGACATCCTTCTCTCCTTGCATCATTGTACAATAACGTTTTAACTCTCTCTTGTGTTTATGTTTTTTTTTTTCTCTCTCTCTCTCTCTCTTTAAAACGTTACGTTATATTTTCGTACTTTCTAGGCTTAGCTTTCTCTGTAACAGCTGTTGTTGAACCATGAATTAATGGCCTTGGGATTAAGATGGTAGAATATCTGTATTTTAAAGAAACCGAGGAATTAATGGCTCTTTGCAACTGGTTTAAACCCAGCACACTGGAATTTGGATAATAATATTAGGGAAAAAAAATTATCCTTTTAAATGACATAATTTATATCTTTTTACTCTCATAAAGAGGTGGGACCGACACCTTTTTATTTTTTTTGTCCACTCTCTTCTACTTTATCTATTTCTTTCTCTCACTTAAAATGATACAATTTTACATCTTTTAAAATGATACACAATTTTTCCATAATATTATGAGAAAACTTCAAAAATCACCTGTGAGTTTTCTCCTAACAAATTATTCTTTAAGTTAGGAAGATAAGTAAAAAAAAAAAAAAGTTTAAGTAAAAATATAAATAATTCAAAATTTTAGTAAAAGAGATAAATGAATCTAGAGAAAACTTACAAGATTTTTTTGTCAAAATATTATTGCTATGGCACGGTGTTTATGTAAGTAAGTACTCCAACAAATGATAGTGTGGCTGGGCTTCAAATGATTTAGTGGTTTTTTTTTTCTGATGTTAGTTTAGTGTGTTTGTTACGAATTGAATAGAGATGGTGATACGTAATAATTAACAATGTCTTCTTTTTTATTTCATGTAAAAAAAAAATAGATAATTGATATTTTAAAAGAGAAATACTGATTACGTGTATATCTGTTGCCACTTCTCTCAATATGGCAAATGGGAATCCCTACTGAATACTGATAAAAAAGGATGGCCGGGAGGGTACTCTTATCCTTTTCCCCTCAGCCAACGCGTAGGTCCCCACTCTTTGTGGCAGCTAGAGAATAATCGACAGACTTATTTTTTGAACAAATTTAAATGTACCAAAAGTAACATTTTGAGATTTAAAAAAATATTTATTTTTTCTGCAAGCCCAATACGACATCGTTTTAGGATATAAATCGTGGTGTTTTTGTAATTTTAATTTATTTCAGGGTTATTATAATTTTTATAATTATAATTTTTTAATTTTTCAATACTAAAACGACGTTGTTTTGAGAATGAATGCAGCAACTGCAGAAATATTTTTCTTGTTTAAAAAATGTCAAAATATTTAGCCAGAATAAATATTTAATTATTTTGAACTGTTTCGTGTTTAAACATTTAAGTTGCAGGTCCGAGTATTCAGACGTGGGAACATATAATGATGTTAGAACGCTCTTGTAGTCCAACTCGCTAACAGGCCCAAGAAGAGAAAAAGAGGCTCAAAAATTTTCAGTAATATGAGAACTAAAAGCCCAATCGACAATGACATGAGCAAATCAGTTGGGTAAAGCCAATTTGGAGGATTTGGGATAATTTAAATTACACAGTTAGCTTTCTTTGAATTAACATTATATTTCGTTATCTCATTGTTATTCAATAGTTATTATGATTATCGTTGTCATTCAGTAGTTACTAGGATTTTATTATCTTATCTTATAGTCATCAAGTAATATTAGGATCATTATGGTCGTTTATTTATTTACAAAAAAATTAATCGAATGAATAAGTTTGTTTGTTCTCCATATTCTCTTCTCATTAGTCCTTTTTCTTCTCAGTGTTATTTATCTCTAAGTTTCTCTCGTAATCATTTCCCTTTGTTAGAGTTTTCATTATGTTCTCAACCTCCAATGGCGGAAGGTACCTGTATACGTGACTTAAACTATTGTTTTGATTCCCTGGAATAGCAACTCTAGGCAGTAGAATTGGTTAGGGGACAAAAATTTACAGGATTACAAGAATTATACACTCAATTACAAGAATCCCAAGATTGTTAATTTGCCTAAAAGTTTTGAGCAAACTGCTTGAATCACAACATGAATCCCCACATAACATCACATCCAATGACGGTGTTTTAGGTTATGGTCCTGGCAACCGTTATAATCATCACACAACTAACCACTATCAAAATCGACAATTGAGAATCTTGTTTCCAAAATTTTTTGATTGCGATCAACCGATTGGGTTTTCAATGCCAATTACTTCTTTGAATACTATCAAATACCTAAATGGAAGAGTTTGTTGTTGGTTTTATTTTTTTATTTTTTTTTGATAACATTAAGGGGCAAAGCCCCAAACAAAAACAAACAAACAACCAGAAACAAAAAATAACTATCCAGGGTCTATACCCCTACAAGAGGAGATTCCCTGAAGATCGTGATCAAATAACTGAGCAAGGTGAAACGGCATAACTCTATGACTCCAGAATCCAGTATCTTTGTGAAGAGCAGACTTGGCTAACCAATCAGCACAGGAATTAGCTTCCCTTGGAATATGAGAAAGCGTTACCTCCCAATCCTGACCGATGAGTGCTTGTATCTTAGCCACTATACGAGGCTGACAAGCTGCATTGCAATCAGCAAGCAAAGAGAATACTTCAGAAGCATCTCCTTCTAATTCCACCTTCTTAAATCCCAGTTGCCAAACCAATTCCAGACCTTTTAGAGTTCCCCAAAGCTCCGCCATTAAAGGAGTGTTGTTGTTGGTTTTATTTAACTTAGATAAACTAGTGTCGTGTTGTTTTCAAGTATTTTTCAATGATGGGTTAGTACCCAATTGGCCTGCTTTTGTCATAGCACTTCACCAACTTGTCGGACCTTTTAAATTTGATGATTGCATTATCTATCCAGCAAACCTACAACCATAAGGCTCTATTAGCACATACTAGGCAACTTTTGGAGCTATGGCCAGTCGTGTTCCAAGTTGTCCCTAACAATGCGTCATGCCTTATTTATTGTTAGGCTTTAGCCACATATACGAAGCGTTGTGCAAACTCAAAGACCCTAAGATATTCATTTTTCCTTTCCCCTAGCTAAGGTTTATGAAGTTCACTTTGCAAACACCCACCTCATATATAATCCAAACAGATCATGGGTCTCCAAAACATTTGTCACCTAACCAACATTTTCTCAAACCTGCATAAACCATAACCTTCTTATTCCAAAAATCTCACTGAACTCTTCTCCTATCCCAATCAAGAGAATAACACCAATTGAAATGCAAACTAAACGTGAGATAAGATTATGTTACAATTGTGACGTGCGTGATGTGTTTGGTTATAATTGTAAGGGAAAGGCAACACTATTGTATCTTAACAAAACATAAAAGGATAACTCGCTACAAGATCAAGAGATTCCTCCGTAGAAACAAATAGATCCCTCACCCATCATCGTTTCAGAGCCCTTTTTGAAGACTAATCTCAATGCATTATTCGGTAATTTCTTCATAAACTCCTTCTGATAATAGGCACCATCTTAGGCAAACCGATTCAAATTTTGATTGATGGGGCAGCACCCGTAATTTTATAACTAAAAAAATGGCTTATAATGTAGGTCTTATTTTGCAGTCCATTACTTCATTTAATGTGCAGGTGGGTAACGATGATGACTTATCATGTCATGCAGTTAGCTATGACGTTCCCTTAGTGCTACAATCGCACACTTTAACCTTAGATTTATTTTTGTTAGACCTAAAGGGGCAAAAGTGATTTTGGGGTGGGCAACCCTTGGACGACATATTTTGACAAACTATGTGCAACTGGTGATGTCTTTTTTCCACTATGGTGTTTCCATCAACTTACAAGGTGATCCTGCAACCTTATTACAACCAATCTCTCCCTCGAAATTACACAAGCTCATGTCCTTAGACTATATAGCATTATGTCCTATGTGTTTTGCTAGCATCCAACCCACTTCTGCCCATTCTTCCCCCCTACAAAATATGTTTCCTCATAAACATACGCTACAACCAACATTAAAGCCCTCCTACACCAATACCAAGATGTTTTTGCCATATCCTCTACCTTACCTCTATACCGTAATCATAACCATTATATTAACCTATTGCCCGACTTCAAACTAGTTCAAATGTGACCCTATCATTACCCCAACTTAAAAATAAAAATGAAAAGTTATATCAAGAGATGTTGACACTAGGTATAATCCACCTGAGCCTTTCACCCTTCAATTTATTGGTTCCATTGGTTAAGAAGAATGATGGTACTTAACGTTTTTGTGTGGATTATCTCGATTTGAATTTAATTACCTTTTAAGATCAATTTCCTATATCAATAGTCGATAAGTTATTAGACGAACTCCACAGAGAGAGGTTTTTCTTCAAGTTGGATCTATGTTTCGCCTACCATCAAATCAGAATGCACCCAAATGATATATACAAAATTGCATTTCGTACACATCATAATCACTTTGAATTTTGGTGTTGCCATTTGGGTTATTTAATGCACCTTCTTATATTTAAGCAACAACTAACGATATTTTTGCAGCCTTCCTACAACATTTTGTGGTTACATTTTTTGACAACATCCTGATTTTATCCCTACAATGGCCGAACATATTAATCATCTTGAACAGGTTCTAGCTACATTACATACTCATTGTTTGTTCACTAAATTGTCTAAGTGTTTATTTGCTATAGATTTTGTCCACTTCTTGGGCTATATTGTTTCAACTAACGATATAGCCCCTGATCTAAAAAAAGCTAAGGCTGTTAGAGAGTGGCCTATCTATACTTCAACCACTCAAGGTCAAGCTTTCCTTGAATTATTAGGGTACTATTTCTGGTTTATCCACCATTATGTTAAAATAGCCTTTCCACCTATGGATATGCTCACAAAAAGCAAGCTCACATGGACTCCCGAAGCCGCTCAAGAATTTGACTGCCTTAAGCAAAATCAGACAGAGGCTCCTATACTGGTTCTCCCTATTTTCACTCAACCATTTGAAATTGAAACAAGTGCTTCTGGTACAGGTATTAGGGCAGTGTTACTTTAAGGGGGATGCATCATTGCATATCATAGTAAGAAATTATCTTCGTGCATGCAACAACA